CTGCTATGGAATCTCCCTTAAAGACTGTGGTATCGAGAAAGTCTATGCTTTTGTCACTCACGTTTGCGGTTAGTTTGATAGAAGGATGGTGGTTGTTGAGAATTTCAAAGAATTCCCAAAACTGTTCGATAGAATAAGTCCAAACCATAAAAAGCGTCCATAAAAAGTTGGTGAAATGGACAGAGGGGTAACACCTCACGTTCCCACTCTGCCATGAAAAGGTCTGCGTACGAAGGGCGAGTCGTATATCCATTGCTGTCCCTGATGTTTGTAAATATGTTTTACCATTAAATGTGAAGTCGTTTCGACTAAGACAAATCTCTAAAAGCTGTAGAATTGCATCGTCGGGTCTGTTTGGATCTGGGTTTCTATTAGAAGCTTTACGAACTGCCGTTAAACCAGTAGTGTTATCGATATTGGTATACATAGAAGAAACGTCGATAGAAATTAAAATACCATTAGAGGGAACTCGAAGATTTTTTATTTTATTGACAAAATCGGTTGTGTCTTTAAGGTAGGCGCATGCTAGAGGTAGTAAGAAATGATCAATGTATTCTGACACTGCATATGACTCACTACCACAGTCAGATATAATCGGGCGGCCTTTAGGGATTTTATTCCAGATAAACCACTCCTTGGTTGGATTCTTATGGATTTTAAGCAAAGTGTACAAATGTCTCTCGCGACAATCAGGTTTGGCAGACGAATTCAAATATGTTTTTGAAGTATTGATTCTTAGTTGGGTTCATAGAAAAGCATCCATGTAACAATTTAGTTCAGTTGTAAGAAATATAACCACAATTTGTCAAATTAGAGTTTGATATTAAAATTATTTTCTAGGATTATCACATCAAACAAACAGAAGATAATTCTGAAATGTACCAGATTATATTATATATCTTAGGCCTTTTTCTCACAAACTTAACCTAGATATTCCAGTCATCTTAGTCAGCACTTAAAGTGATTATAAATTTAGTTATTATCCAATCAGATGATTGAATTTCTTAAAATCTGTATTTTATCTGAAAGTTTTGGAGACTAAGGTTAAACATTTGTTATGATTCTTCCATTGTGTATTAAAAGGGAAGTGAAATGTAAAAAAAAGTTATCTTAATGAGCCTAAGGATGGTCTAGAATGATAAAAAAAACTAGTATAATGAGGTTTACAAACATCTAATGATTGAAAAAAAATCAAGAAAGGAGATTTAGGACATCATTAATCTTCATCAACCTGATATAACACGATTTTTACTGAGTTGTCCTCGTTAGGTTTCATTCCATTACCTTCTCTACAAGAAATGACTTAGTAGCATCATTAGACTTGATGAGAATTGAGATCCTGTACTGAGTTTCAGTTGATTCCAATACTGTGGAACAGTGCTTCACTTATTCCAAATAGATCATTTTGTTACAAGTGGGGAGTTGTCTGCATTCATATATTATTAAGTATTATCTCATTCCAAAATAGGGGTTTACCTTCTCAAGTGAAACACGGTAGCAATATATAACTCCACATACCAAGATTAAGTTTTAAATTTTCTCCCAAAAGACTTAGATAACTTTCAAGTTTTTAGGAATATTAAATTTGATTATCACAAGCGGTCAAGCAACCATCATTAAAACTGTTTAACTGAATATTAGAACTGGAATGAAATTTCCGTTAACTTGTTGTATTTCCACGGCGATTGTCCCTGAACAATTCTGATGTTATATATATTAAAAACAAGTCAGAAATTCTCCCCGAAGATATGGTTAGTTTTTGAGTATCGTTCTAATATTTTATTTGAATATCACAATAAAGAAAATCCAGCCATCATTAAAACTGTCAAGTGAATATTTGATAATTAAATTTGTACAGCAATGAAACATGAGCATGTCTGATTGGTGTAATTTATCGTCACTGGACGATGTTTACGACTATCAGGGGACATTTCTCTCTTATTTATTTTTGTCTAAATTGTGAGGGGAAATTTAGAATGTAGACAGAGATATTTATGTTTGAAAGATTTTAATAAATTTATTTTGACATGAACGATAACATTTGACAGTTCACAGAATCTATATATTTTATCATTGTCTTTGCCTGTTTTTGCTGTGATCGGCTGTCAAAAGACACAATTATATAGAGTTATCTCTCCCTTATGAAAAGTGTGTCTGGATAATCTTTATTAAGTGACAGACACAACATTGGAATTGTTACTAAGTTAGCTAATTATAAGTAATGATGAGACAAACTGTGGTATTTTTCCCTATCATTAGAACACCTCTACTTTCAATTAATATAATTATTAGTTATCTAATTATCAAACCTAATTATACAGTGAGATAATTTCTTATAAAGATGGTGACAAAAAGGAAATCAATTGAATATTACGCCCTACTCCTCTACACATAATTAGACTAAATAACTAAAATAAAACTCAACTTATACTGGGTATATTCTCGACACCCTGCCACCTACTGATAAAGATTTGACAAGACTAACTTTACTAGAAATTCTGTAGGTCATGATTGAAGAGTGTTCACCTTAAAGATTTTAACGGCAGAAAACAAGGTGACTCATCTTTAAAGAACCAAATCTGAAGATATGGTCATTTCAAGATTTTCAATCATGGTATTTTTCTGTGTTATTATATTAAATTGATAATTGATTTTATGATAGAAAAGAAAAAGCCTAGATGGTCAATATTTAAACTAAAGAATTTTATCAACAAATCTTCTCTAGACAAAACCATTTATTATTGATACTGTTATTTCAATATTTGATAATCATGTCTAGATAGTCTTGGATATCAAGTCATGTCGTTATTTATATATTATGTTTGTTTTCTCTCAAGTGGAAAGGAAAACCATTAGATTTGGATTATTAATGGAATTTCTCAAAAGAGGAGATGTTGTTATTAATTATTTATGTTTGTTTGAAAGATATATTCTTATCTACGTTAAAGTTGTATTCTCCCAAAGTTTCAAGTTTCTTTTCTTGATGTACACAATGTCAAGCTATTACAAACTTTGTACAAATAAAATGAAGTTTGTAATAGCTTGACATCATGCAGAACCCTTTTCCCTGAAGTTGAATTCCCCAGTGGAAGTTGTCATTGAAGTTGTAATTAATTTAAACATTTTCATCCTTGTTTCTCCCTGATATCAAAATTCCAAAACTCTGAAAGAGTATTCTTTCAAACTTGACACATTTTTTGGTCGGCCTCTCATGTTACAAGGGGCTGACATCAACTTCTCACGCCTTAAATGTTGTATTCTCGTAAACTTTTAAGCATTTTTTGGTCTGTCTCTCCTGTTGCGAGAGGCCGACGTAAAATTTTCATACTACAGGATTTAATGTTGTATTCTAAAAGATTGGGTATTGTTTTGATGAGGGGTTGAGAATAAATTACCATTTGCTACAATCTAAAAACTGAAAGCCATCTGTTCTATAGACTGTACATGATAAAAATAGAGGTTTGCACACTGAAGAGTCAACTTTGTACAAAATAAACTGGAATGCACATGTTCAGGTCTATTATATGTTAAAATATCTGTTAACTCTAACTACGACATGAAAAAAAATGAACAAGAGACAAAATGTCCAATCATTTGATTAAAACAAAAAACAAAATGGCCATCTTTGTGTCTAAATTCTTGATCAGAATATAAATGGGGAAAAAAGACAGAAGAATTTGCATTATTCGGTTGATTTATTCATTGGTTTGAGTTGAGAAATATCGAAGTATTTGAAAGTATTTTATTTTCGATATCTGTCGTAGATTTTCTATCATAAAATAGAAGATTGTTTGTCAGGCTGTCATAGAAACAGCGACAGAAACAAACCATCTTTCATAATGAATCAATTTATATTCATTATACCGATTTGGACAAGAAAATATTTGGGATTCGCTCGTCTCGTTTGTAAGAGTCAAGAATAATCCGCGAATTGATTTACCCATATCATTGTCTGTGATTTATATATTTATAGAGAGTGGTCCGTTATTAACTTGTATACCACGGTCAGATACTTTCTTAATATTGATGTAGACTTTACTTTCTGACATTCTTTGAACAGAATGCATTTCTTCATACTTTGTTTCTTTGAATGCAATGCAAGACATTATTATTTGTATATGACAATAGTCTTGAAGCTGGGGTGACTCAATATTATCTTGTATACCACAGTCAGAGACGTTCTTCATTTTAAACATAGACTTTACTTTGTGACGTTCTTTGAATGCAAGCAAGACTTGTAACATAACTTGTTTAACACAATAGTTAAGAGTCAGTTAGTTTAGAAGCTGGGGTTAAAGTAGATTTAACTAGATAGAAGACAATAAACTGAGGCCCTGTACAGTTTAAAAATCCTGTAACAGTTTTAATCAGATTATTAGTTAAACTTATCATGTTTAATTGATGTTTCAGTTTCTAAAAAAGATACAACTAGATTATTCTGAATTCTGCCACAACAAATCTTTCCTTTGAAGCCTGTGAAGGCCATTTTTTACATCTTTAATACTAGATCAATCAGAATGCTATTTTCTAGTATAAAAATTCTCTTTTGATGAAATCCTGTGTTGTTTTATTGTCCAGCTGTTAGAGAAGTTAGTGTAGTCACAGATTGTTATTGGTATTTTGTTATTTGTATTTTGTTATTGATTGTTATTGGTATTTTGTTATTGATTGTTATTGGTATTTTGTTATTGATTGTGTTTGGTATTTTGTTATTAACTTTAAAACCAACTCGTTAAATTAAGTTGCCCAAAACTCTGCCAATAATTTCATACATCATTGATCTGGAAGAATAGGAACATGTAACTGAAATGTAGGTATTACAGAGTGAAAGTTGAAACTGGGCTGACTGACAGAAACTAGCTGAGTTGAAGTTGTTTAATAATTTTGATTTTTTTTATCAAAGAAGTGTGTTTTTTTTAACATATTGTCTTCAGATTGTGATGGTTGGGAATCAAAATAATTTTATTTTGACAAAACTTATATTTTATCTTTCAGCGCCATGTCGAGGCCATTTCTGTGCGTTTGGTGCTGTATGTATGGTCAACAAGACAGATAATACAGCTTATTGTCAATGTACTAATAAATGTCAACCAGTATTTACTCCTGTCTGTGGTACTAACGGGGTTACGTATGCTAGTGAATGTCTGTTAGAGAAAACAAGCTGTACAACTCAACGTAGAATCAAAATAAAATCACCTGGTGAATGTGGTGAGTTGAAAATTTATATCCCATATACTTCTACATCACCCCACACATACCCCACCCATACCCCACACACTTTCCTGTCCATCTCTTTATTTCTTTATACCCCAATTGTTGTACAAATCCCTGTCCCACCCAACACTTTTCATTTATGGCCCACTGCCCCGCACCCTTTCCTGTTACACCCTTTTTTTTTATACCCAATTTATTTCACACTGGCCCACTCTCCTTTCTGTTTATACCCAATTGACTTCAGACACTTTCTTGTCCCACCCTCCTCCCAATTATTCCCCATGGCTTGAGACATTTCTGTCTTATCCTTCTTTCTTGATAGAATTGGCATAAAAAAAAAAGAATTATGAGCATATTGTCCAATATCACCCCTTCAAACCCTTTAGAGCATTCACATATTTCAATTCTCACAACCAAGAACAAACAAGTGTCTGAAAATATCATTGTTAATGTGAACATATTGTCCCATATTACCCTAAAATCAAAGATAGGTTCCCTGCTCTTTAATCATAACCCCGGTCTTCCTGTTTCTTAAAAAATCTTACAAAATTTTGAAATATTAGAGCCTGTTATATCACTCTAAACAGGAAAATTGGGCGTAATATTTTTTGAAAAATGAAAGGCCAGACCTTTATAATAGTGATCTATATATAATCATTTCTATATATTAATTTATATTGTCATTTAATTATTTATATGTGATGTTATTTTTATATTATTTTCGAGTCGGCATGATTTAATGTGATTCACTTACCATTTTATTTGAGTTTTGGTCGTTAGCTTTTTTTGGTTTTTAGTTTTTATTGAGTTTTGGTCGTCAGTCTTTTAGTGTTAGTTATTTTAAGTATTTTTAGTTGTTATAATAAAAACTATGTTAAAGTATCATTAAGTTTGATGTTATCAATTCAGTTTAGTTTTATTTCAGATAAACTAGTAATATAGTCACAATATTTTCATTGAGTATTTAGCGTAAAGTTTTGTAATGTTTTACATTTTTTTCTTCCGTAGAAAATTTTACAATTAGTGTTGTTTAGTTGGATATTCAAAGTTTTAATTTTGAAATTAAAGACTCGTATTTTTCTTTGAAACATAACAGAGGGGTTAACAATGAATTCACTATGAATTTAGATAACAGATATGCTATATCTACATCTACAAAGGTAAAAAGTCTGATAGTTGTCGGTAAGACATTTGCGCTGTAGGTTCAAATCATCCTGAAGACATGATAATAATTATACCACGGTCTGTAATTCTGAGAATGCCAACCCCCCAAAATTTTGTTCATTAAAACGAAAGTTGAGACTACTGCACTACCCTTAATGGTTCACAGATCTGTACAGAGGAAAGGAAACTGTGTTTCCAACTGTCATTTTTATAACCTCATGTTTAACTCATCTGTCTCGGAGTTGTTTTGTTAATTCAACATATTACATACTGGTACAGATAGGATATATATATATCTTCAGATTAATAAATCCATTGTGGTCTGATTGATTGATTCTAGTCAGTTTGTCTCCCTGCTATTCAGCTTGTAGTCTACAGATGTGAATATAAGGGACATAACCTCTCTGACTGTAAGATCATTGAGTGATGTAGATGGAATTAACATCCCGAGCTAAATGAAATAAAGAAATTAAATCTGCCATATTAAACACATTATAAATTATACTTAAAGAATTATCTTTGATTAAATTTTTTACACAAGGCAGGTACCGCATTTCCCTAGATTTAATAAATAACTTTCCTATCAATAAAAAGCATTAAAATATTCAAAAAAATAAACAATAATTTAGCAAGGCAAACCTACAAATCAGAAGTTGCAACACTTGAAATACTGAAATTCCAAGACAAATGAGAAAATCTGTATTGATTGATTTTATTGATTAAAGTAATTAATTATTAATGATTATATTATTATCTTTATCAATACCTCGTTAGTGTAGAACTAATCATTATTTTCTACTCTTTATTGTCACAATCTATAATCTTATAAACAGATGGTTGTAGAACTTAGTAGATGGTAGGAAACAGATGCCAAGTTGAAAAATCAAAGTGTAAAGAAGCATCCACAGACAGTGCCAATGAAATTTGGTACAAGTTGACATGTCAGGATGGAAATTCCTGATATCAACATCCCCCACCTTTAACCTTTGATGCCTGGTTGATCTGATGTACACTCTGAAAATGTTGGCAAATTCTGTGGTCATGAGGTAAAATTTGCTGTCTAGAGTCCATGGACTTTGTTTTGATTACTCATGGAATTTGTTTTAGTAACTGGTAGAGCTCGGTCCAGTTAATTATTTGGTATTTTTGCAACTCATTTTCGTTTTTTTCGCAAACCTTTTGACTTAATTCATTAAGAATTGGAGTAAATGACAATGAAAAAACATAAAGAAGTCAATCAAAACTCCTATAAATATAATAAAATCAGTTATAATTGAAATTTATGAGAAGAAGTTAGAAAGGCCAGAAAGTTTTCAGGATCATTCTAGAAAATAATATCAGTTAGAATTGGAATTCATGACAACAAGGACAGAGGCCAAGGTCATTCAAAATGGCCTCTTTATCAATTAGCATCACTCATTATAGTTTATACATGGAGAAAATCAAATCAAAATGGCTTTCATGTTAACTAGAGATGATATAAAGATGAGGCTAATCTCATCAGAATTCTACAGAGGTCAGCAGTTATACTATTCTAACGGTTGTTCAATTCGCTGACTCATTCCATGGTGGTTGGTAAACAGACAAATACCGAGAATGTTCAATGATAATTTGGTTTTATAACACTATTAAAGTTAATCTCCTTGACTATGTGGACTCTCTGAGAGATGACGAGTAAACAAAACCAAATATCAAATAAAAAATATCGGCTTTATGGGTTCCATGAATCTGATGATGTGGTAGAGCGACATCTAGCGTTCAAGAAGAGTGAGAACATCCTGTCTAACAAGCAGTCTAACATGGGGCATGCTCCTTAGGCTAATTTGGTTGTCTGTGGGTACCTTACCATCCAAAATCTACACCCCTAAATTTTAATCAAAGATGAAGGAGCAGGTACATCAATCCATCATCCAAGAAGACAATCTATTGAAGGGTATGCTCCATAGGCTGATGAAATACAGCATCTTAATTTTATAGTTTTCGGGCACTGTACTATTTAATATCCCAATAACTAAACCTCTAAAGACTAATGAAAGATTTAGTACTGACTAGTTACCAGTGATTTCCTGGTAAATATAGGAAATGAATTGTCTCTGACTGTCAGAACTCTGTCATTGGCGCCAGTTAATCACAGAAATAGGCACTGAACCAATCAGAGTCATGACATGCTGTTATTAATGGGTAATTGTAAGGAATATAGTATTCTATGACACAGTAAAACTAATAGAAAAAGACAATATTAAAAACCGTGGCTGACTGTTATAATCTTGGTGTTTTGTGGCGCTATATATGAATATTCAAAAGATATAGAATTGACAGTACCAATATTAATCCAAGAAATCAGTGAAGACAGACAGGTAATGAGATGCTGGTAATAATGGATAACTGTGAGGAATTAATTATGAGGCATCGATGGCTGGAGAAATGACACGAAGAATATTCAAATGAAATAAAACTAGTTGATCCACTATCACCCCCTAATTATACTAAAGACAATCAGAGGCTTTTGAAGAGTCAACAAGTTTCTAGATTTGACGACTGTCAACAATATCTATCAAGGGTAGATCAAAGCCATGACTCTCAAGTTGTTTTGGGGGTTAATAAATCTTTGTAAAACTAGAAATAGTAAAGCTACAAGTTTTGGAGTGATTTTGAGGATGTAAGAGAGAATATCTGTGAAGAATTAATAAATAAAACTAGATGATATTGATTTAAGATAGAAGTTTGAAAGTTTGATGAAGTAGATATTTAACAGAATTAAAAAACAATGGCTTCATCTATCTTTCTTGACATTTTTACTTCAAACTTTCACACATTTCACCAAATTACTTCATCAATTTACATTTTGACTGCCATTTTATCTTCATTCAGAATTAGTTTTGACATGTCTAAATTGAAACAGTCAGATTTACCTGATTCTTCATTTACTGTTTCAAAATGTTTTCAAATTGAAAATAATTTTCTAACAATAACTAATCATGTTGTTTTCGGTTGAGCTTGCACTGTCTCTATTAAAGGTATTAAAGGAGGCGTGATGTGGTGCCAAAACAAAATAAAATCTCAAACATGTTTGGTTCCCCCATTGCACACTACTCATCTTCATGGCCAAACAGCCTCCATTTCGTATCATTTCTAATTTATTTAGTCCAGTCTAGTTTAGTTCACGAAGGTCAAATTTATCAAAGTCGTAGACAAGTAATATATTTTTTGTGTAAATTCCATGTTGGGGCCGTGTTCTTCATTACCATTACAGACTTCCAGGAATCTGTCTCTGTCAGTTGGCACCAAAAAAGCTGAAATTAAAGAGCCTATTTGATGTGAAAAGTATGTAAACGAAATAGGAAATTGGACGATTAGTTTCAATAGAGAATGACTAGACTATAGATATTATTGAAAAAGCTTTTAGTCTAAACATGTTTTTCATGATTTTATCTTTCAGAAAAAACATTAATTCTGGTGATTTATTCAGTATACAGTATATGGTCATTCATGGTAATTATTTTAACTAACAGAAAGATATATTGATCATGTCTTTAAAACTTTTACCATATGGTACAAGACAAACATGTTTTACTTCCAGAGGGGTAGAATCTATCTCAATCAAGGCAATAGTTTAAGGGATGTGTGGGGGAGACATGGATGGGGATTGGGGTTGACAGGGGCCTGGAAATAGTTTAAATCTTTTGCAGCATTACTTTACTTTACTCCTATATTCCAATAAGCCAGACGCATATATTAATGCTTTACCATGCAGTGTGTAATGAGGGAAATTTTTCAGAACTGTAGAGCTTGGTGTGCCCAGACTGCACGTTTTGGAATTTCCATTATTCTAATGTATCAGACGCTGGTCTTGATGCAATGAGGTTATATTTTAACAGCCTGTTCTTTCTCTGATTTTCCAATACTTCAATATAACTAAGAACAATAGTAAGATAGTGTTTATCTATTGATTTGAAAGGAAATCAGATGTAATTTTATAAATTATGGGAGTTAAATTCATGTTTTATCAATGATAATAGACTATTTATTTCAAATTGGTTTATTTCTGTCTCAAGAATCAGAGGAAAAAGGATTTGAGATTTTAGTTTGCCCGAGGATGGTTTCAGGTTTGAAATTCCAACAGGAAATGTTATCTTACTTCTATATGAGTTCAGCTCATTTCATGCTGCAGACGTGTGTTTCAGATACACAACCCTCATCAAGACAGCTAGTTTTAACAAAAGAGGGTCACTGACCAGTATAGAGCTTAATGTTAGCTAATTGACTACAGCTCATCTCATACTGCTGACATATGTTTCCGATATACAATCCTCATCAGGACAGTTAGGTTTGGAAATAGGTCTATGTCAAAGTCCATGCTAAAATTATCCATAAGCTTTGTTCACTGTCATGGTTCCTCTCAAAATTGAGGCTGGTCTGTCCTTGCCTTTCTTTAAATGAGCCTTTTCTGTCACGTTCTGGCCATATTTTCTTTAACCCTTTCAACGGCATCAAGTAAGCTACTTAAGATAATGAGTTGTCTGTGTAGTAGTTAATTACCACGCTGTATCCAACCTCTTGTTCAATTAAAGGACTTATCTCTGTGATGAAGTTCTAATTTCGGAAATTTCTATAATCGAATTAAAACACAGTGACAGGTCCTCCGTGAATTGGTGAAGAACTAATCTACTAAATAGAAATAGTAATAGAAGAATTGAGAGTGAGATTATGTTTCCTGTTCTAGAATTTTCACATCTTATTGAGTTGTAATTCAATTTGGAAACGAAAATAGTTAATCTAATCTAGTTGTCTTATATTGGGGGTTTTGACCATTATTACTTCTGCTGTTTGATAAACCTTGTTTAAAATCGAGCGAGGGATTACGTTCCGTGTTCTAGAAATTTCACATCTTATTGTCTTGTAATTTAATACTGAACAGAAGTGTTAATTTACCAAAATCAACAATATTATCATAGATAGTGATTTAGATATTCTCTATTCCTAGTTTTTGATCATTGTTGGTGATGTTGGCTCAGAGACCTTGTTTGATTATCTAGAATTTTCACAGATGGAGCACAGGCACATAGATCTTGTGTGGTCCTGTGAATTGCTTGACCATCTCCTCTGTGCATCTTCCTAGAGCTTAATTTTGATAAGATTAACAGAAAAAGGTGTTGGACTTACAAAGCCACCACTACCCTTAACAAATCTGAAAAGTCGTTTCCCCACAAAATAAAAATCAAATATAACTATCAATTTATTATCAGAATAACAATATGTAATTTCTTTCAGAATCTGATATTACAGTGAAAATCATCTTTCTATAGCGATAATGTTAATATAACAAGGTTAGATAACTCTCAGTAATTATAGATAACCAATCGTTAAACATAACAGATGAGATTTTAATCGTATGATCAATATGGAGGTTGAAACGATTTGATTGAGATTTGAATAATTTAACAAGACAAATGAATAAATGATTACCTTGCATTTTTACTAGCTTATAGATTTAAATAGATTCTTCTAGCTATAGAATATTAAAGAATGTTCCACGCTTTATAAATAAATAAATAATAGAGAATCTTTTAAAATAGATTTAAAATGAAATGAAATGAATGGAGTTTTACGTCCTACTCTTCTGCACCTAATTTGGCTAATGAAGACTGGATAAAAGTTAAGTCTGTAAACTATTGAATGTGAATACTGTGGTTTTATGAATAAATAATGGTGAATTACTTAGAATAGAATCTTTCAAAATAGTTTTGATTTTGTTCATTCATTCATTCAGTCAATCATTCACTCCATTAATCTATCTGATAATCCTTTTTAATAGATCAATTTATTGATTGATATCAGAATTAAAAAGTGCCAGCAAATCATTATTCTAAACATTTATAGATTTGTGAAAAATTCATTCATTCATTCAATCAGTTATTCATTCATTCATTCAATTATTCATTCAATTATTCATTCAATCAATCATTCAATTATTCATTCATTCATTCATTCAATAACTCACTTTCATTGATATTAATTTAGTATATCAAGGATGATCCTAGTTTAATACTCAACAAATTAATTTAATATCTATGTGATAATCTTCGTTAAAACTTTCAATAATAGTAGATTTGTCAAGTGTCATTTACCAATAGATTGATCTGATTTCACGGCTTAACATGAAGAAAGGTTCGGTGTGAAATATCGGTATATCTAATCCTTGGACGAGGTCTCCACTCAATCACTGTATAGTCTAGACATTACAGGAAATTAAAAAGTGTAAAAGACAAACTGAGAATGACAGTGTCTGTATTTAGATAGTATATATATATATTTTTTGAGGTAACTTTACCAGTGTAGTTGTAGTGCCAAGTTTGATGACTTTACTAATGCTGTTGAGTTGATTGTTGGATATAAAAATAAATGGACATCCCTTACAGAAAGGAAATGAAAAGAGTTTGATATCCTACTCTTCTGCATCAAATCAGGAAAATGTGGACAGGTCATGAAGTAGCTTTTTTGCCAGGACAGTGTCATCTGTTTTGAATCACTAGATGCTTTTTTCCATGTCAGCCGTTCTCCTTTGTCAGATTTACATTAAGAGTCCACATAGCTGATAAAGATTCTTAGAACTTTAATAAGCAGAAAAAATAAAATGTTTTTGACATAAAGAGTTTCTTAAGATTCTACTTGAGGTTAAAATTTTAACGAGTTTCCAGTCTTTAATTGGTCTTGAATGAAGAAGATTGAAGTTTGAATGGTTGAATAGGGTCTTGACCTAGTCAAAGTAATTTAACCATGTTTTATTCTCTAATATATTAAAAATACCAGTAGATTTCCATTTCTGCACTGGATTGAATGACCCTGAATTATTTTTTTTTTTTTTTCATCAACAGGATGAGACAAGACAAGATATTTGCACAAATCTGTTTTCATATCATTTATCTGTACTTCCTGACTGTAATTTCTAAAAATAAACTTGTCATCACTATAGCTACTGCCAGTGACTTCCAAATATGGCCAAGTTTCACTGAAAGTACATGAACATACGCTTGAAATACTTCTAAATTATCACGTATCTTGAGCAAGTTGTCTGAGAATTTTTTTTTTTTTCATTAAAATATAAAATTATTAAAAAGCAGCTTCAGACTATGAAATATTTGTGGTCTTTTTTACGCCTCTCTATGATGGTTCCCGTGGGATATGATAAGTTTTCCAACACACAGCTGAAGCTGAAATTTGATTGACAATACATGTTCTAGACATAATTCGATTTAAGATTTTAATTTAAAAATGGAGTCGTTACGTTATCAGCGAGTAAATGGACATGTAGACTTGATCAGATTTTTGTCAATATAGAAAAGATGTCTGGTTTCTTTCTGCCACAGGCTCCTCTAACAGCTGACAATAAACAAAGAGTAGGTCATTGTACCAATCTGCACTGTGGAAGTTCAACAAGTGATCTGAAAAATATCAGTAATGACAGTCGTAGTTTATCTGGTCTCTTTACTCTACAGACTTTGTCTCTTGTTATCTGACATGTAAAAAAAGCAGGTTAATGCCACTGTCCTTGATTTGCATGACATTGCCCAATTCTATCTCAATTAAAATCTGGACCAGAAACATGCTAGGTATTTAGGTTAGTCATCTTTGCAGGCATTTCAGAGAGTTAACATAGCTAATATGAATTACTTGGTAGTTGAAATCCATTACCCATAGCTAATAATGTTTTGAAGTCTTTGAATGGCATTTAGCAATTGTGAGAACGATATATAGACACAGCTTTATGGAACAACAATCACTGGTTAAAGTTTAATACAACGTTTTGACGTGTTTCCCCTGTTGTTCTCAGCACATAATGAGGAAACGGGGGAAACACTTGGAAACGTTAACCAGTGATTGTTGTTCCATAAAGTTGTGTCTATATATAATAATGTTATGGTTACTAGATTTGTCAACCTGGCATCCCTTTCAGAGAGTTCAACATAGCTAATAATGTTTATATGGTATTAAGCTTTGTTAACTCAGCATCTCTTGTAGAGAGTTCACATAGCTAATAATGTTTATTTGGTATATTAGTTTGTCTACTCAGCATCCCTTTCAGAGAGTTCACATAGCTAATAATGTTTATATGGTGATACACTGTTTTAAGCAAGGATATTTAAACTGTACTATCCTAGTGGTAGCTTCCAATAGAAACCAAACTAAGACTGAAAATATTGATTACTTTTCTCTGTCCATTATTCCACATTACTTGCATGACTTGCTACCGTGACAATGGGATTCAATTTTTACCGATTTATCCTGCGAATACTGACTGCAAATTGAACGTAATGGTATTGTTAAACAGGTAGAAGCTAGGCATGATGACAACCAGACTGAATGTGGTTTAATCATTTACAGAAAGCTTTTACAGACGTTAGTTTCATTTCACCAAGATCAGCGAGAATCAGTGTATGTGCTGTGTACGTTAGCTGGAATATTTTTACTGTGGTATATTATTCATGGACGATCTTTCTCAGTAAACTAACGTTTAGTTGACAGGATTTTTATCAGTTTTATTATAGTATTTATTGTCTGATATCTTCACGGTTGATATGAGTTGAATATACACCAACTGATGGATAATCTCTGAGAATTTTTAAGGATGCTAGCAGTTTAAGGATGTTTCTAGGAGTTATTTATCATATTTGAACTACAATTTTAAACTTTTTTTTACTGTGTTGTACTTTTGAATGTGTCTATAAATTTTTAATCAAGTGCGTTAATGATTTGAATGAATGTTTTTAATTTTTGAATTAAAAATTTGAAAAGAATAGTTGCAACTCGAGGTCTTGTTTTGATTGATGGTGTAAAATTTTGATTTTTAGAAATAAATAATCCAGTGTTTGAAATATTATATTTGGTGAAACGTTTGTAAATAGAGTTTTTGAATTGTTGGAATATACTAGGAATTTAAGAAGTGAAGGTTGATTTTGATTGGTTGTTTGTTTTTAATAAGTGAATCTCAATAAATCAGTGCTTTCCGTATGAAAATATAAATCACAAAACGGAATATCAATAAATTTTTAGGATCGTTTTTCGATATTTGTTCGATTTGTGATAATATTGCTATAATTATTCGTATAACATCATATTTAGCCTCGTAACCATGCTATATATAGCCATATTTTTATATTTTTTCTGTGATATTTGTAACGCATGTTATCAATTTCCCTCAGGAATACCCAACCCATGTGAGGGAAAACTCTGCCGATTTGGCGCCACCTGTAAATTGTCTATCGATGGTACCGAAGGACGGTGTGTCTGTCCACCAAGATGTGATTCATACGGGGACAGCCTGGGAAGTACGCCAGTGTGTGGCAGCAATGGAGTGGACTACAAGAATATGTGTGAACTTCACAGAGCAGCGTGTAGTGGAATGAGAAATATTCGTGTCAAATATTATGGAAAATGTGGTACGTTTTTATTTTTTATTTTTATTTTTATTTCTCTCTTATTGATTTATTTCGAAAGTCTTGTCTCCTACTTTCACTTTATTACTTTACTCTTTTTATTGACTTTTATGATCATGGTATAAGACTATCAATACATTTGATTTATAACAATGTACCACAATGTTGCCTGATATTAACATAACATCACATAAAAATATCTAACATTACAAAATTACTAAAATATATTAATTTGTAGAGTCATGTTGAAATATTAAAACAGAACCTGAATCATGTTGTTACTCAGAGTTTCATGCTATGCGATCTTCAGACAACTGACCTATTTCAGCCTGCATCCCTACTGAACATTGCAATTATAACATTACATTTACATGATGTCAAATATAAAAACATTCATAATGCAATTATTTAATAATGTCTCTTGTTTTTTTTTGTTTAATGTAATTACTTTCAGAAACCTGATCAATTCATCTATGGTTTCAGAAACCAATCAAACCTTACATAAACCCTTGGTTTATTAAAGAGTGTAAAATTTATTATCATTTTTATCAGAATGAGTTTCAACTTGACCTATTCTCTCAGGTTTGTTTGTAAGTGTGAGTCTTAATAATTTATTGTTCTCTTTTAATCATGAGACGTCACGTCAGGGAAAATCAAGATTAGTAATCATTGGTTGATTAATTGATATTATTACTTTTGTTTTCTAAAGAATCTTAAAATTTACCTCTCATACAATCTTTACAATGCAGATTTTATGTCCATAAATGTCAGGGAAGATGATTTTATGTCAGGGAAGATGATTTTATGTCAGGGAAGATGACTTTATGTCAGGGAAGATGACTTTATGTCAGGGAAGATGGTTTTATGTCAGGGAAGATGACTTTATGTCAGGGAAGATGATTTTATGTCAGGGAAGATGATTTTATCTCAGGGAAGATGACTTTATGTCAGGGAAGATGATTTTATGTCAGGAAAGATGTCTTTATGTCAGGGAAGATGATTTTATGTCAGGGAAGATGGAAGTAATCAGTAATCATTGGTTGAGTAATTAATGTTATTACTTCCTCTCTCTTAAAACAAAACAATATTTATCAGATATACAAAATCTGGCTGTGACCAAGTCAACAATATTCATCCTGATATTTCCTCAGTTTATTTCAGGAATGATTATGATTTAGTTATCGTAATTAGAATTGAGCTCTGTCATGTGACAAGATATATGACCACGTATTTTCAACTGTTTTCAAAATGTAATGAAAGCCTTATTGCTGAAATTCATCCACTGTATGTCAATCAATTTCACATATATATTATAGTTCTTTCATCAAGGGATTAATGTCTGTATATCTTTAAGGGAGAAAATTGAATCTAATCTTTAGGTTTGAATTTTTGATGCTAGTCTTGAGTTCAGGGATTTTGGCATTAGAAGTTTCAAACCACCATTACAATAGTTTAAATATGAATGTTGGTCTATCTTCGAGTGAGAAATTTGTCGTCTGTTAGACTAACGAAATAGTAATTGAAATATAAAAGATTTACGAATGGAGAAAATTTGGAACAAAAAGAGTAATTTTGTCTATGGTGTGTTATTGAGACGTAAATTGTCCATCTCAGTTTAAATTGATCAGATTTTCTACAAGTTTACTTCGTTATTCAAATTTCCCTGTTTATAGTGGAGACTTCTTGGGAATTTATTTTGATCATTAAATTTGTATTCAACAATTACAGCAAATTAAGGGTCAATTCAGACAATTTTGAAGTAATCTGAAAGACTATTTAAGGATTTTTAGAAACTAATGATTGCTCTGTACATTCAGTAAGGTCGAAAAACACAGTTACATAGATATTAACTGTTTCCTGTTAAAATTTTATATGATATTTAGATGTCAATTTCATACTTCTGATTTTAAATCTTTTTATGGATTAGAATCAATGTGTGGTGCCAGGCAGGGTATGCTTATTCTTCTAGACACCTGATACTTCCTCATTTATAATTGATATACTTTCTCTAGTGAGCAGTTTTGTGCCAGGCAGGGTATGTTTACTCTTCTAGACACCTGATACCACTTTTCATTATGAAATACTTACTCATTTATAATTGATATATACATGTACTTTCTCATGTGAAAAGTTCATCAGCTGCTACCAATGTATCACTTAACTGTTATTTTGGATTGCGGTTTTGTTTTGCAGTTCAGATCATTATTTATCAAAAACAGCTTATACATAGAAATCTCTGATCGCGTGTTCCCTGGTCACGAGATATAATTTTATCTCATCTTGAACATCAATAACAGAAAATGATGTAGAAATAAATCGTTACAAATATTCAGAACTGCAATTTGTGCCATTATCATGCAATTGATGTGGACTGTAGAAATGTAAATTGATTGAAACCCAACAATAAATACTCTCAACTCATTTCATGTCTTCAACATTCAGACAATTTCCGTTCTATTCAGAAAATAGCGCTGTTATTTCGTAACTTATCAAATATGACTCGATCAAAATCTGCAAATGACATTTTATACAGATTGATAATAGACAGGAAATGAGCTCATAATGAACTATTTCTTGAAATATCGATATTTGAAAAATTTGTCGATGCTGCGTAAAGTTAGTTTTTGTTTTAATTATATTTTTATTGACATTTAAAAGAATTTTTCTGGAAGTTTTTATCAATTTTTTTATCGACTTGTTGTAAGTTTAGTTAGAAACTTATTGGTAATATTTATTGATCAACTGTATTTGCTGAAACATGGAAATTATTCAAATGAAAATATCCAGACTTTTTAAAATTTAAATCTAAAATCTTTAATAGTTTTATATTTTCAACCCTGGCTTCATTTGTATCTTAAGAATCCAAAGACAGGTGGAGATCAACTAAAATTGTAACTTTGTAAATGCAGCAATTTGATTGGCTGTATTCGCTAGCATACAATCCAATCAGAGCCATGAACAGAAAGTCTTTAAACAGCAAGACATAATATTAACAGTTTGTCTGTGGAGGGCTGTGATCGGCTGTATCTGCTAGCGTACAATCCAATCAAATCGCTGCATTCCGTGATACAAGAAAGGTGGCTATTGCAGTCAAGTTATAAGACAAGAGTTGTAATAGTTTGACATTGTAAAGCTGAAGAACATGAAGGTAATGAGCCTGTATAACATTATGAATATGATATCTTGTTAATCATAATGAACATGGTTTGACTGACCAAATTGTTCAATACGAACATTGTTGGAGTAATATGATATCTTGTTGATGATAACGAACATGGTTCAACCAATCAGCTGTCTTGTTGATGTTTCTATGGTTATTAAATTACACCCAGTTGAATATTGAAGTCCCAGCGTTAATTCTCAGTGAAAAGATAATTACTATAGTTCAGAATAGAACAGGTTATTAGATTATAGGACTTGTCAACAGGGACTTAGGGATCTAGCTATGATTATCTTAGTCTCTTTCTGTGGCTAAAATAATCGTACACTAACTCGAGAAAGATCACAGGGCTTGACAACAGGGACTTGATGTAGCTTTGATTATCTTTTCATTATCGAAATAATGTAGCATGAACTCAAGGAAGATTATAGGGCTTGATAGCAGGAACTTGGTGTATCTTTGATTATCTTAGCCTCTTCTTCTGATCAAATCCTAATCATCAAAATAAAAGAATGCGAACTTAAAGAAAATTGTTGGGCTTCATGTTGCCTTGGAAACAATCCTTGTAATAAAAATAATAGAGGAATATAAAGTGAAAACAATATAAGAAGTCATTAAACCAAATTCAAAAATAAAAATGTCAAAACAGCTATCTTGAACATCTTGTGGCTTCTAATTTCAGTTAGTATGAAAGTCTGGATCAACTACCCCGTAATTCCAGTTTATAATCTGAGACAGATGATTGTTGAAAGGTTTGGTCAAGGACTGTCTTCTATATAGTAACTGTAAATGGGTACTGAATGTTTAGAGTTCTCTCTGTTGACTCTGTTGTAAATAGGTATAGATAAACCAGGATAGATCAATGCCAAAAGTTTTGGTCAGCTTCTAGGTGGAACCTTTCTTTATAGAATATAATAAATATTGGTAAAAGAGGTCAATATCTGGTGTTTCTGACATGATACGAGTATAAAAATAGGTTATTGTAGTTTTCTTGTATTCTCACAAGGTTCTCTATCATTATATTCTATATGTTAATTACTCCCATTGGTCTTGGGAATTTGTGAACTAGAAATTAAGATGGAAAGGAAATAAGGAATGGAGAAGTACATCCTGCTTTTCAACACCTGTTTATACTGCAGTGTGCAATGAGGGAAATTTTGGCAGGGCATTTGTGAACCAGCAATTTAGATACAGCAAAAATGCAATGAAAGAGAGTTTTAAATCCTACGACGCTCAACACCATGAATTGTGCAATGAGGGATATTTTTCCAAGACAGTGGAAATAACCTACTTTTTCAATTTCTAAGAAATCTTTAAAAATCCATTGATATTATCTCGCCTTTGCTGGGATTGAAGCCTGGACCTTCAGGTTAGCGAGCAAGCTTCAAACTCACCAATCCACCGTGTGGATGAAAATGTCTTTGCCTGTCTGTTCCAACAGCTGAGGTGTATTTTTGGGTGTTCTTTTTTATTTGAATTTTGGGAATTGAGGTTTGTTTTCCCAAAAAATTCGTTGACAGAAACTTAACCATAAGATCTCAAATGAATAAAAACTGAGTTATATTTAAAATATAAAATTTCTGTTTCAGCTACAGCGTAATTAAATAAGATATATATATCATAATCAAATATAAACTTGTGGTTTATAATCGTGTTTTCTAGAAATACAGACGTTTTAAAATTAGATTAAATTATTTAAATTGTGTCGTGTATATCATAACTCTTTCTGTAGCCATTATATAATCTTCATTACAAAGAGAACTGGTAATTCCTCACGGGGCTGTTTTTTGTTTTATAATACCAGGATATTTATATTTTACTGTTATATTATCATATTACTTTA